AAATCTAATTTTTAAAATCTCGAAATTTTTACGAAAGTTTGTTGAATTTTTTGAAATATTGCACAAAATTTTAAACTTGGATTTACACGGGTTTTGTAAAAAGAATGAACTATATTTTTATAAAAAAACTAGCAGACCCGCGAACTTCGTCCCGCTCAAAATAAATATTTTTTTATTGAAACATTTTGGTCCAACATTTTCACCAACAATTCACTTTCACGATTTATCTGCTAATATTATGGTTTGTTGGTCGTCGGAAGGCATACTTCCAAGGCCGTCTTAAATAACCTAACGAAATAAGAAGAAGTTCTTAGAATTTCCACAATGAGCTGGCACAGTTAATCGAATAACGAAATAAATTTGAAGAACTTATTCCTCTTCACTCCCTGGCGGCAACAATGATCCGCTGCGATGGTGAGTCTGTCCTTAAAACTGAATAGTGTAGCTGGTGGCAATTGAAAGATGGCGGAGTATCGTTGGTCTACAAAATTTGAATATACATTGACTTATTTCCGACAAAATACCTTAAATGTCTTATCAAGGGGCGCAATAGTTCTGGTGGTTGATTTAACGGAAGTCATTTGAAAGTGGCCACTAGACAACTCAATCCTGGCGTCTCCGAATTAATGTATAGTAGTACTAGCTTATACCCGCGGGTTTCACCCCGCGCTTTTATACACATATGAAAAATAATTTAATGATGTTAGATTTTATTTCTGTGCCCATTTCGTTACAGCTCGTTATTTTTTAAGCGAGTTAAGGTATTCAGGCCGTTTAAAACTATGAAATTATAAAATCTCGTCTGCGCGCTAGGCATACGAAAGATATCAATCCCTCTAAATTTACCTTAAACAGTTTCCAGGTATACGACTCGTGAACGTGTAACCTTCTTGGAGGTGCCACGGCGAGTTCTAATATTTCCACCCCAAATTTAGTAACCTGGCCTTGATAAAATACCACTTCTCATTACTGTAGCAAATGCCTCAAGAGAGCTTTAGATTATAAGGCCGAACCCGGCTCTCCCTTTTCCATTTAATGAAATTTATTCTGTCAGTACGGAACTTATAAAATAAATCTCCATAACAAATTTAAAATACTTCGAGAGATTTTCTATCCTTCCAGAGATATGTATTAAGAAGTTTTTAGTATGTATGGGTGGCGACATGCCTCCTTTTTTAATAACTCACATTTTTTCCATGAGCAATTGATACATTTTGTATACACAACTCCATACCAAGTTCCAGTATCCTTCTACAAACACTTCTAGGGATATGTGGCAAGAAAAAGTAAATTTGTACTGGAAGTGCCACGCGCCTTTTTCTTATAACCCTAATTTTCTTCCATGAATTTAGAATTGATTTTACATACCCCAGTACCAAGTCCCAGTACTCTACCATGAACACCTCTAGAAATAAGCAGTATAAAACAGTTAATTTGTACGGCAGGAACCATGTCTCCTTTTCGAATAACGCAAATTCTTCTCCATGAGTATGGAATCAATTTTGTATACACATCTCGGTGCCAAGTTCCAGTCCTCTGCAATAAACACCTCCAGAGATATGCAGCTTAGAAAAATCAATTTGCATGGGAGTTGCCACACCACCTTTTCCAATAACTCTCATTTTTCTCCATGAGTATGGTATTAGTTTCACATACATACATACATATGTATTTCCATACCAAGCTTGAGTGCTTTACCCCAAACATTTGAAGAGATACGCAATATGAAACTTTCAGTCAGTATGAAAGGTGCTACGCCTCTTTTCCAAAAATGTCCATTTTTCTCCATGAATATGAACATGATTTCACACAGTGTTGGCAAACTGTTAATCTGA